GGATCGGCTTTCACCGTGGACGAAGCGGAGTCCAGCCTGGGGTCGTCACATGTGGTTGACGCAAGCCCGCCGGACACTCCTTCGTCGAATCCGCCGGCCACGCCGTTCTCAAGCCCGCCCGCATCCGCTCACTCAAGCCCAACCCCCGCCGCTCACTCAAGCCGGCCTCCGCTCACTCTAGGCCGCCAGCCGCCGCCCTCCGCTCACTCTAGGCCTCCGGACAAATATTCAGATGTGTCCAGCGCATTTTATGGAGGACTGATCCTGGTAGAGTAGACTACAATGCCGGCTGACTCACAGACTGTTACACCAAATACACAAAATAATGTTCTTTTTAGCAACATCATATGACCCCTTTAATATATAGTTTATTTATAGCTATTTTCAAATCTTCAATGTACTGTCATTATAAAAGAACTTTCTTATTGTTTATTTAATTCAAACAAATAAGTTCTTGTTAAAAACTAACCAAAATTAAAAATATTTATATATCAGTATCGGCATCGGCTATCGGCCAAATTGAGTTGTCCAAAAAGCCATGTGTTGATGGTGAAACAGTAGACTTTAATTATATGCATTTATGGTGTAATTACTAAATTTCCGTGTCAATCCATGTTAATTTTCACCGCGAATAATGTGCTGTCACTTTATTTTCAGCACGTATAGCACAGCAGAAATAGATTCCGTGCGGAAACGATCGCAGCATGACTGCTGCAGACACACCGCTCCTGGAGCGCACTGCCGGACCGCAATCGCATGCAGTGTGAATGCTCTGATCCGTTAACATGGGCGCGGAAAAAATACGCACCACAGACGGAGTGTGTGAACCTGGTGTTACATTTGTATGCCCGCCCGGTCTGTTCTGTTCTCGTGCTCCTTTTAGGCGCGCTGCATTCTGATTGGTTCGGATAGCAAATGGAGGTCGGGGGCGCGGAAAATCGTGCTATAAAGCGATTTAGAAATCGCGCAAGCTCAAATCGCGATTTTATGACGATTTCGATTAATCGCACAGCCCTACAACTTAGTCATAAAAGACATCAGTTTGTATCTCACATAGGGGTGTGCGATATATATCGTCTGTGATAAAATCATGATTGTTGTTTTAACGATGTGCGATTTGACATTATCGAGTATATTACAAAAAACAAACAAAACACACCTACAGAGCGCACACATACGTGACGTGAAGTTTAGTAAGTTAGACTAGTGCGTGTGCGCATTTAGAGTGCGTTCTTTCACTGCGTAATTCGGTCTGTTAAAATGCATTTTGAATGAACACAAAATTCAAGATACGGGGATATACATATATATATATATATATATATATATATATAT